CTCACTGACGTCAGCAGCGTCTGCGTACCTTGGCCCTCCATAGCCCTGCCCACACGTCCTCGATCAGCAGCTCAAACCTGCTCGACCCCGCAGCGACTGAGCCGCCTCATGTCAGCTCCCGCACCCTCCTTGACGAGCTCAGCTCGCTCACTGTCGCGGTACGGGGGGAGGCTCCGGAGGGCCCGCCTTGCTTCAGCGCTCATGTCCGGCATCGCGTCCTGGCACCTGCCCTCGAGGATCTGCCACACGACCCCCGACCCTCCCGGTCAGATCTCCTCCCTCCCGCCCCCGAGCTCGCGCCAGGGTGCCGTACCAAGTGAGCCCCGACCAGCATGACAGCGTTGGCGCAAGCTTCTGCCTCGTGCGGACACGTGAGGACGACCGTCTGCTCCAGCAGCTGAGCTCTCGCGATCTCGCACTCCCCACCTCCCTGCGCCTCCTCCGCGCCCTCACCTTGTCCTCGCGGCTTCGCAGCCTTGCCGTGAGGGCCTCCGAGAACCGCATCACCGCGCTGTCCCCGCAGCATGTCAGCCCATGACGGGACGCGGCTGACCCTCCTGCCGCCTGACCTGATGCTGACCGGCCCGAAGTCTCGCCCGTAGGGGAAGTACTCGAGGAAGCGACTCATCTCCATCTCCTCCTGCCTCCTGCACGCGCGTCAGCTCCTCCGACGTCACGGGGCTTGTCTGCTCTCATAGCAAGAGCAAGCGAGCAGCAGCCGGCTGCCCTACCGGGGGTCGAGGCTGGTCTCGTCCGAGCAGCCGGCGGCGAGGGAGATCCTGTCGGCGAGGTCGATACTGCAGTGAGAGAGACCAGGGCCGGAGAGTCAGCTAGACACACGAGCATGGCGACAGGACTGACGCACATGGTGCCGGCGAGCCATGGGAGGTCTTTGGACGCCTCGTCGTGAGGGTGGGTAGTCGAGATACGCATACGGGAGCTTGAGCGAGGAGCGAAGACCGAGGAGCTGGAGGCGGCGGAGGGCTGAGAGGTAGAGGAGGCAGAGGGCAGCGAAGAGCTTGCGTGAGGGGAGGAGAGGGAAGGAGAGTTGGTCATGGCGATGCTTTTGACTGCGGGGGAACGTAGAGGGCGAGAGGGGAAAAAGAAATCGGGGAAGACGATGAAAGAGACCCAGGTCTCGTGGTACTGTGACTTGAGACTGAAAAGAAGCTTTTTCGACTCGTATCCCCGTATGTACTTGAGACTGCTTACATTCGACTGTCTCGATCGGACACCTTAAACCTTGTCGCAAGGCCTCCTCCGTCCCGCCATGCCCCCCCCCCTCCAGACCGTCCGCATCGTCTACCCTCGAGCCTCCTCCTCTTCTCCGCCCGGCCAGGATCGTCGCCCTCTCTTCCAGCGCATCACCCGTGAGCGGATCTGCGCTCTCATGCACCTCAGCCAGCCCGAGGCGGCGCGGCAGCTGGTGAGTCTCCAAGCTGGCGGGAGGCAGGGGAGATGGACGTGCGACTGCGAGGGAGGGAGCGAGGAGCTTGGGATGAGCGTGGGGAGGGAGCGAGAGGCTATCTGCCTACAGACTCCAGCAAGTGCCGTACGCTGACGTGGCTGTGTTTCCTCTCAGGGCCTCTCCGTCTCAGCCCTCAAGAAAGCTTGTAAGGCGCTCGGCGCTGGCCGCTGGCCGTACGCGAGGAGACGCAAGGCAGAGCCGATCGTGATCGAGGAGGCGTGGCTGGCATGGTACCTGTCGGCAGATGTGGATGAGGAGAGGTGTGAAGGCGAAGCGGGCTGGGGTCACGATAAGGGCGAGCAAGCGAGCGACGACGAGGAGCGAGAGGGAGGTCTGGAAGCGATGTGACAGCGTGAGGGTGAGGATAGGAAGAGAAGGGCGTGCAGGTAGATCAAACAATCAATGAAGAGACTTTACCAAGGCCGTCTGCGTCTTTTCTCCCACATGTATACCGTGACAGTGAGCGAGCTGACCCGTCCAGGAGGGCGCGGGATCTGACGTCAGGCGGCTCAGTCGCTGCGGGGTCAAGCAGGTCTGAGCTGCTGATCGAGGACGTGTGGGCAGGGCCGAGATGGGGACCACGGCAGGTAGCGAAGCCCAGCAAAGTCTCTGCATTCATGAGTCATTCTCTACAGCTTTCTTGAGAGGAAAGGGAAGGAAACACAGCCACGTCAGCGTACGGCACTTGCTGGAGTCTGTAGGCAGATAGCCTCTCGCTCCCTCCCCACGCTCATCCCGAGCTCCTCGCTCCCTCCCTCGCAGTCGCACGTCCATCTCCCCTGCCTCCCGCCAGCCTTGGAGACTCACCAGCTGCCGCGCCGCCTCGGGCTGGCTGAGGTGCATGAGAGCGCAGATCCGCTCACGGGTGATGCGCTGGACTCTGATGGCCAGATGCGGGAGCGGGAACGAGGGACCTGTTATGCAGCCTGTCATGGCGATGCCGTGGAATGAGGGGGGATGGGGGCATGAAGCTCGTTCGCTTCAGAATGGTGAGATATCTGGCTGGTGCTCTCTGAGGTCGGCTCAGCGTAAAAGCTCCAGGTTTTTATCAGACTGCACGGAAGGGTGGGGTCCTCAACCCCGGAGCCTCCGAGGCATCGGATGGGTACACGGACTACAGGATCTCACGCCTCTACGGGCCGGTAGGGAGCTGAAGCGCTCGATTATTGAAGCAGGCAGAGGGGAACAAACGAAATATAGATCGTTCGCCTGTCTAGTCGCAGGCGATGGGGAACAAGGCATAGAAATTGCTGTAAAAGTCGTTGTACATCAGATCCGACGAGACTGAGATACATTACTGAATGGCTCACGAGACCTCCGAGGTATTCACCAAACGTCGCGAGGTGAGACTCGTTGAAAAGGATCCAGGTCTCGTGCTCCATCTCCCTACCGCTACCTTGTATAAGGTCGATTCACATAGTCCTTCCTTGGTTCCCCGCACGCATGGCTGCTCAATCCGTCGCCTGTTCCTCTCCCTCCCTCTCCCTCCCTCTCAAGCCCAAGAAGCTGCTCCGCCTCTCCCCTGCTCAGCTCCAGTACCTGCAGGCTCACCCTCCCCCGCCCCCTCATCGTCCGCCCGCTGTGCAGGAGGGAGCGTGTCTGCAGAACATCCTGGAAGCGAGGAAGCGGTGGGAGGAGGGCGTGAGCTCGCGGCGATCAAGACCGATGGGACGGGAGGGATCAGCGCGGGACATCACGGAGGCAGCGAGGGAGCTGCTGGGGAAGAGGTCGAGCGGATGCGTCGAGCTTTCGTAGTCTCTGCTTGGTAAAGTCGTCTCAGACGGCACGAGCAAGTCAAGGTTGTTCCAGACGGCACGAGCAAGTCAAGGTTGTTCCAGACGGCACGAGCAAGTCAAGTCAAAGTCGTCTCAGACTACATGAACAAGCCAAGGTCGACCGCGAGGACGATGTCTCGTTTGAGTGCACGCGAGGTTGATAGTCGTTGCAAGGTCAAGGCGAGACCTGTATGATAGCAGATAGATTGAAGGTCTTTGATGTCAAAGGGCTCAAATAAACGATGTGATAGCACGTGATCGATCGGGCGAGGTGTGCCAAGGAAGAAGCGGGTGATCACACAGAGACCTTGCAGGAGCCGTCTGCGTCATGCCACGTCAGAAGAGGTCACGCTCCAGCAGCTCTGAGCTGCTCGTCATCCACATCTTCCGACAGGTACCATGCCAGCCACGCCTCCTCGATCACGATCGGCTCTGCCTTGCGTCTCCTCGCGTACGGCCAGCGCCGAGCGCCTTACAAGCTTTCTTGAGGGCTGAGACGGAGAGGCCCTGAAGGAAACACAGCCACGTCAGCGTACGGCACTTGCTGGAGTCTGTAGGCAGATAGCCTCTCGCTCCCTCCCCACGCTCATCCCAAGCTCCTCGCTCCCTGGCAGTCGCACGTCCATCTTCCCTGCCTCCTGCCAGCTTTGGAGACTCACCAGCTGCCGCGCCGCCTCGGGCTGGCTGAGGTGCATGAGAGCGCAGATCCTCTCACGGGTGATGCGCTGGAAGAGAGGGCAACGATCCTGGCCGGGCGGAGGAGAGGAGGAGGCTCGAGGGTAGACGATGCGGACGGTCTGGAGGGGGGGGGGCATGGCGGGACGGAGGAGGCCTTGCGACAAGCTTTAAGGTGTCCGCGTGCCCAGCATAGCTCGAGCTGTTGGATACACGACTGCAAGACTGCAGACCCACTAGGCAGTAACAAAAACATGACCCCGCCAGCACACCCCAGGCATCACAAAACTCCTACAATGCACTCTCTGGTCATCACATCCTCTAACCCACCAGCTACGTCCTCATACATGGCTCCATGTCCTCATCATCCGCCACGCCCTTCCCAGCTCTCTGTCTGGGCCCTCAGCGCAGCCTCGAGCTCCTCCAGTCCCTGCAAACCATGGTCATTATTCTCCTCCACCCTGTCCTCCCTGCCTCCCTGCCTCTCTGCCTCCCTGCCTTGCTTCTTCAGAAAACGTCCGCTGTCACCGGCAGATCCTCCTCCCAGCCCCTCCGTGCACTCACCTCCTGCTGCCGCCCTATCACCGACCCCGGACGTATCAGCCGCATCCATCCGATCGCCTCCCTCGCCCTCATGCCGTAGGTTCGCATCATGTACGCAGCTGCCGTGACCCCCCCTCGCTCGTCAGCTCCTCTCTCCTCCCGCCCCCCTCGCCCGCCTACCTGCCGCGGTCCCCGTCTTCCCCAGCCCGTGCTCGCAGTGCACCGCCCCCGCCCCGTCTGTCCCGTCCACGGCCTCTGCCAGCCGCCTCACCGCCACCGGCGACGGCGCCTCCCAGTCCTCGTCGGCGAGGTCGAGCACCTCGATCCCGCAAGCCTGTCCGCCCCTTCCCCGTCAGCCTCTGCCGAGCCCCTCCGGCTCTCCGTCGCCTCCTACCTCCAGCGCCTCCTTGCGGTAGGCCGGCTCTTTGCTCAGCCGGATGATGCGTCTGACTCGCATGTCTCCGAGCAGCTCCCCGACGTACCGCGGGTGGAACTGCGCCTCGTCACCTGCTCCCGCCCCGCGCTCTCGCTTCCTCCCGCCTACCACGCGCACGAAGCCCTCGTCCCACCAGTCTCGCCCCCCCATGGAGTCCGACGGCGCCTGCGCGTGCGGTCGGCTCAGCGGCGTGTCGGGTCCAGCAGAGCTGGAGCAAGCCCAGGGCACCTTGAGCGCGACCAGCTTGCCCGGCACAACCTGATGAAGCCCGCCGTTGTACGGGTTGTCGTAGTGCTCGTACTCCTGTGCGCCGAGTCGCGTCAGCCGTACGGGCCGACAGCCTGTCTTGGCCTACCTCGAGGTCGAGCTCGCATCCTCCCCTCCGATCCCAGCTTGATATCCACCCCAGCTCCTATCGCAGCAGCGCTCAGGCCAGCGGCTGACTGCCCCCCCCCCCCTCCTCCAACTGACGTCAGCAGCGTCTGCGTACCTTGGCCCTCCATAGCCCTGCCCACACGTCCTCGATCAGCAGCTCAAACCTGCTCGACCCCGCAGCGACTGAGCCGCCTCATGTCAGCTCCCGCACCCTCCTTGACGAGCTCAGCTCGCTCACTGTCGCGGTACGGGGGGAGGCTCCGGAGGGCCCGCCTTGCTTCAGCGCTCATGTCCGGCATCGCGTCCTGGCACCTGCCCTCGAGGATCTGCCACACGACCCCCGACCCTCCCGGTCAGATCTCCTCCCTCCCGCCCCCGAGCTCGCGCCAGGGTGCCGTACCAAGTGAGCCCCGACGAGCATGACAGCGTTGGCGCAAGCTTCTGCCTCGTGCGGACACGTGAGGACGACCGTCTGCTCCAGCAGCTGAGCTCTCGCGATCTCGCTCTCCCTACCTCCCTGCGCCTCCTCCGCGCCCTCACCTTGTCCTCGCGGCTTCGCAGCCTTGCCGTGAGGGCCTCCGAGAACCGCATCACAGCGCTGTCCCCACAGCATGTCAGCCCATGACGGGACGCGGCTGACCCTCCTGCCGCCTGACCTGATGCTGACCGGCCCGAAGTCTCGCCCGTAGGGGAAGTACTCGAGGAAGCGACTCATCTCCATCTCCTCCTGCCTCCTGCACGCGCGTCAGCTCCTCCGACGTCACGGGGCTTGTCTGCTCTCATAGCAAGAGCAAGCGAGCAGCAGCCGGCTGCCCTACCGGGGGTCGAGGCTGGTCTCGTCCGAGCAGCCGGCGGCGAGGGAGATCCTGTCGGCGAGGTCGATACTGCAGTGAGAGAGACCAGGGCCGGAGAGTCAGCTAGACACACGAGCATGGCGACAGGACTGACGCACATGGTGCCGGCGAGCCATGGGAAGTCTTGGGACGCCTCGTCGAGAGGGTGGGTAGTCGAGATACGCATACGGGAGCTTGAGCGAGGAGCGAAGACCGAGGAGCTGGAGGCGGCGGAGGGCTGAGAGGTAGAGGAGGCAGAGGGCAGCGAAGAGCTTGCGTGAGGGGAGGAGAGGGAAGGAGAGTTGGTCATGGCGATGCTTTTGACTGCGGGGGAACGTAGAGGGCGAGAGGGGCAAAAAGAAATCGGGGAAGACGATGAAAGAGACCCAGGTCTCGTGGTACCTCGACTTGAGACTGAAAAGAAGCTTTTTCGACTCATATCCCCGTATGTACTTGAGACTGCTTCGTTTCGACTGTCTCGATCGGACACCTTAAAGCTTGTCGCAAGCCCTCCTCCGTCCCGCCATGCCTCCCCCCCTCCAGACCGTCCGCATCGTCTACCCTCGAGCCTCCTCCTCTTCTCTGCCCGGCCAGGCTCGTCGCCCTCTCTTCCAGCGCATCACCCGTGAGCGGATCTGCGCTCTCATGCACCTCAGCCAGCCCGAGGCGGCGCGGCAGCTGGTGAGTCTCCAGGCTGGCGGGAGGCAGGGGAGATGGACGTGCGACTGCGAGGCCGTACGCTGACGTGGCTGTGTTTCCCTCAGGGCCTCTCCGTCTCAGCCCTCAAGAAAGCTTGTAAGGCGCTCGGCGCTGGCCGCTGGCCGTACGCGAGGAGACGCAAGGCAGAGCCGATCGTGATCGAGGAGGCGTGGCTGGCATGGTACCTGTCGGCAGATGTGGATGAGGAGAGGTGTGAAGGCGAAGCGGGCTGGGGTCACGATAAGGGCGAGCAAGCGAGCGACGAGGAGGAGAGAGAGGGAGGTCTGGAAGCGATGTGACAGCGTGAGGGTGAGGATAGGAAGAGAAGGGCGTGCAGGTAGATCAAACAATCAATGAAGAGACTTTACCAAGGCCGTCTGCGTCTTTTCTCCCACATGTATACCGTGACAGTGAGCGAGCTGACCCGTCAAGGAGGGCGCGGGAGCTGACGTCAGGCGGCTCAGTCGCTGCGGGGTCAAGCAGGTCTGAGCTGCTGATCGAGGACGTGTGGGCAGGGCCGAGTAAGACGGCAAAGCCCAGCAAATTCTCTGCATTCATGAGTCATTCTCTACAGCTTTCTTGAGAGGAAAGGGAAGGAAACACAGCCACGTCAGCGTACGGCACTTGCTGGAGTCTGTAGGCAGATAGCCTCTCGCTCCCTCCCCACGCTCATCCCAAGCTCCTCGCTCCCTCCCTCGCAGTCGCACGTCCATCTCCCCTGCCTCCCGCCAGCCTTGGAGACTCCCCAGCTGCCGCGCCGCCTCGGGCTGGCTGAGGTGCATGAGAGCGCAGATCCGCTCACGGGTGATGCGCTGGACTCTGATGGCCAGATGCGGGAGCGAGAACGAGGGACCTGTCATGCTGCCTGTCATCTGCCTGTCATGGCGATGCCGTGGAATGAGGGGGGATGGGGGCATGAAGCTCGTTCGCTTCAGAATTGTGAGATATCTGGCTGGTGCTCTCTGAGGTCGGCTCAGCGTAAAAGCTCCAGGTTTTTATCAGACTGCACGGAAGGGTGGGGTCCTCAACCCCGGAGCCTCCGAGGCATCGGATGGGTACACGGACTACAGGATCTCACGCCTCTACGGGCCGGTAGGGAGCTGAAGCGCTCGATTATTGAAGCAGGCAGAGGGGAACAAACGAGATAGAGATCGTTCGCCTTTCTAGTCGCAGGCGATGGGGAATAAGGCATAGAAATTGCTGTAAAAGTCGTTGTATATCAGATCCGACGAGACTGAGATACATTACAGTGAATGGCTCACGAGACCTCCGAGGCATTCACCAAACGTCGCGAGGTGAGACTCGTTGAAAAGGATCCAGGTCTCGTGCTCCATCTCCCTACCGCTACCTTTTAAGGTCGATTCACACAGTCCTTCCTTGGTTCCCCGCACGCATGGCTGCTCAATCCGTCGCCTGTTCCTCTCCCTCCCTCTCCCTCCCTCTCAAGCCCAAGAAGCTGCTCCGCCTCTCCCCTGCTCAGCTCCAGTACCTGCAGGCTCATCCTCCCCCGCCCCCTCATCGTCCGCCCGCTGTGCAGGAGGGAGCGTGTCTGCAGAACATCCTGGAAGCGAGGAAGCGGTGGGAGGAGGGCGTGAGCTCGCGGCGATCAAGACCGATGGGACGGGAGGGATCAGCGCGGGACATCACGGAGGCAGCGAGGGAGCTGCTGGGAAAGAGGTCGAGCGGATGCGTCGAGCTTTCGTAGTCTCTGCTTGCACAGATATGTACAACCACCTTCAAGACGCTCGAGTGACTCAGGCTTGTCGCACGTCTCGGAGAAGTCATGTTGGTAAAGTCGTCTCGGACGTCACGAGCAAGTCAAGGTTGTTCCAGACGTCACGAGCAAGTCAAGTCAAAGTCGTCTCAGACTACATGAACAAGCCAAGGTCGACCGCGAGGACGACGTCTCGTTTGAGTGCATGCGAGGTTGATAGTCGTTGCAAGGTCAAGGCGAGACCTGTATGATAGCAGATAGATTGAAGGTCTTTGATGTCAAAGGGCTCCAATAAACGATGTGATAACACGTGATGTCTCGGCTCACATTGCCAAGCTCCAGCAGCAAGTGACCAATCTCCGTCAAAGCGTCAGCGAATCGATCACTGATTATACTCTTCGACGCCATGTTATGTTAACGAACTTCTACTCTACAAATCTGAGGCTGTCGTATTTCAAGAGCACAATCTTCTTCAACTATTTGCCAATGGTTTTCATGACCCTGATCTCCGACTTGTCATGGTCCCCATTGCGCACATGCATCCTCCTACCGCTGCCACGATGTCACGTTTAGTACAGAAAGCTTTCGCCTTCGTCAAACCGTCTTCTTCGGTTCCTGCTCCGCAGCCTCTTGTGCCCTTCAACCCTCTCCGTCGACGCCAGGAGCTCAGCCCTCCCCAGCTCCCGCGCAGTCCTCCGGTTCTCCCCCGAATTATTTCTGCACGTACTGCAAACGTTCTTGTCACACGTTGAAGTAAAGAAAAAGCAAGCTGATCGCAATGCTTCTTCCTCAGTATCACAGCCCAAGCAGCGCAGGAAGACGCCGCGTCAGCTTTTTCGACATGGGATGATTCTGACTGACCTCATCGTTCTTCAGCGAAGTCTTACGACAGATGGAAGTGACATGAACTCATCGACTACTCCAACTCTTTTCAAATCCTACAACACCTACCAAGTGACCAAAATCTCATCATAGCATATCTCGACGGTCTGAACGAGACGTTCAAGAATGATGCGATGTCTCACAGGCTAAACGAAATCCTGACTCAAGATTCACTCTATGACGCACAGAAGCTAAAAATCAAGAAACTGCTCAGGAGCAACAGCTGGTTGGAATCCGGCGGCGGTGGCAAAGAACCCCTACTAGCATGATGGAGCCAATCGACTTCCAAGTGATGAAGAAACACCGTGTCCGGACGGCGAGCAGAAGCTGCATACACTGTCTAGGTCAACAGAATCCTCTGAGAACAATGTACAGCTCTCGCACATGAACAGCGACGCTCAAGGGATTCTATCTCGCTGCAATTTGGACGCTGGAACATCTACCTCAGACCCTTCATCCCACTGCTGAATGATTCAGCCATGATTCATGCAGTGGAAAAAGTAGTAGACAGTTTCATTCACTCATACCCATAACATGATGCAGACTCATACAGGCAAGGCATCAAACGACCTGCGCATCCTTTCGCGCCATCAATCTCGCGGCTCTATTCTTGTGGTCTGCATTTCATCCCAACAACGTGAGCGTAGACCTCATGTAGCTGCAGGTCCACCCGTACTTTGCAAGCGCGACCACCTGGTAGTGATGATGCCTGAAGTCCACGGGGTTTGAGGCCTTGAGGCACTTCGAGCATCCCCACGGGCGTTGCTTTGGACCTACACCAGAGATACCGGAACATGCTGAAGAAGACGTCGATGGCCTGCATCTTGACTACATCGGAAAGGCGATAATCCCTCTCGCAGTCGCTCATCACCACCTCCCTGGCATGACGTCATCCACGGATTCATTCAGCTCCCCCAAGGAGTAGCTCGCGAAGAAACCAAACCTGGGCCAGCGGACAGCAATTTCCAGCACAGCTCGGTCACCCCAGGGTTGTCACCAGGTTGTCCACGGCCTCATTCAAGTGGATCTGCAGGTTGGTGACGGCATGGTCGATGGGCTGCGTCGTCGGTGATGACCAGGGCCCTGCAGTTGGGCACGATGTCCTGCACCCTCGGCTTGTCGACGTCACGGAGAAGTCATGTTGGTGTGATACGCTACTGTCGTGTGGAGATCAGACTAAACAAGCAAGTCAAGTCAAGTTCGTCTCAGACTACATTAACGAGCCATAGTCGTCTCAGACGTCACGATCAAGTCAAGTTCGTCTCAGACGTCACGATCAAGTCAAGTTCGTCTCAGACGTCACGAGCAAGTCATGGTCATCCAAGGACCAGGAGCATAAGGCCGATGTCTCGTTTGAATACCTGCGATGTTGATAGCCGTTGAATGAAGGTCAAGGCGAGACCTGTATGAGTTAGTCATGTAGTCTTTTGATGGGATTTGAATGAAAGGAGCGAGACTGGGACACACTACTGGAGGTACGTGAGGTACGTGAGGTACTCGAGGAAGGAGACTCGTCTCTCTCCTCCTCCTCCTGCTCTCTGCGGGCGAACACCCTAGATTAGAGCAACTCCACGGGTCCCAAAGTTCAAAGTCAGTACGAGGACAATCAGGAGAGTCGAGGAGGCTTGACCCTGACACTGTCGCACTGGCCAAACGGCGAGAAGAGAAAAGACAGCGAGAACCAAACCCAATCCTGCCAACTGCTGTCCCCCAAACTTAACTGATACCTTCATATACTTAACAGCTACTAGCTAAAAGGACCTTCTCCAGGCCAGGATGGGAGGAGGGAGAAGTGAAAACAAGTAGACAGACGCTGATGGGAGAATGGACGAGGGATCAGAGCTGACAAGAGAAGGAAGACAAGACCACAGACCAGGAGTGACATGAAACATCTGTAGGTGTTGTACATGTTGACATTTGTGGAATGTCGAGAAGAGGGATTTGTACATTAGATCATTTGTTGCATGAAGAAGATTGGGGATAGAGAAAACAACTCGAAGGTCAGGATGCTTGTAGCAATCGAGAAGCAAAGTCCTAGCCTCAATCTGACTCTCCTTGTTTCGCTCAAATACTCCTCACATCAGACATGGCGCTTCGATCTGAAGAGGACCTGGCACCGTTGCTGTTCCCAGACGTTCTCTTCAACCCTCAAGCCACTGAAGGGCAAGGTGAGGAACAATCTTGCAGAGAGAATCGTCTGTGACGGCCACCACCAACCTCAGAGGAGCAGGCGAACGAACCAGAGGAATCACAAGATAGCGATGTCCCGCCTGCTCCAGACGTGTCAGACGCGAGCGGAGACAGCTCAAGCTTAGCATCGAATGTTGATCGCTCGACTGAGACGGCAACACATCAGCAGCTGTTGAGCCCAGCAGAATTTCAGCAAGACAACGAGGCAATGTCAAAGATATCTTGGAAGCCCTCGCTTAACGATGGTTTTCCTGACTTCGAGCACGGGCCCCGCAAGTTTGACCGCAGCTTGTGCTGTGACGTTCTCTCGGACGTGCCCGCGACCTTCTATGATCACTGGAGTGGTCTTAACTTCAGCAGAGAGGCAGCTCGCACACTGAGAAGATACGGACAGAACATGTAAGGAGGCGCGGTTATGTCAGCATGACAAGTGACGGAAGTGAAATGTAGGGGATATTTTTCGTATGAAATGTCAGAACCAAAGAAGTTTGTGAGGTGTAAGCTTCTGAGAGGAAGCGAGTATGTGACTAGTTCGATTAAGATTCTTTGACAAGCTTGAGTGGAACTGCGTTGGTTTGATGATACAGACGACAGAGGACGACGAGCTGGTCAGCCAAGATCCTTTTTTGATTTTCTTCTCATCGACTAGGCAAGGTCATCGCCGATGTTGTTGCAGGTGGCCCAGCATGTCAGTCAGGCCTAGCGGTGCGTGGGGCTGACAGGCAAGAGGAGGAGGTGACAGGAGCGACAGGCAGGAGACGTGCTGGTCTCTGTCGATCGGACCAGCGCAACATCGCTTGACAAAGTTTGCGCTGCCTTGAGTGGGCCGGCTGGCAACGAGGTGACTTGCTCTGCTTCTCAGCTCGCATTCACGCTCCTCGTTCCCAGGTGGAGCTCGTGGTGCGACGAGGAGGCGCGAGGCTCGGGCCCTTGGGTGACTCGCGACTTTCTGTCGCTCCTTCTCACCTGCCGGCAGCGGTCAAGAGAGTTCGATGCGACCGAGCCGTCGCCTCTCGTCGCGTGTCCTCGGTGAAGCCTCGCCACGTCGCCTCAGTCGTAACGTCGCAGCAGAGCTACGAGGACGTTCCCTTCTACATCTCCCAGCAGGACCAGGACAGCGCCGTGCATGAGGCCAGGGCGCGCGTGCAGATGATCCGTGAGGGACGTGGGGCCGTGCGGCTGCTGCTGACGAGCGACGGCAGGAGATCGAGTGTATGCGGCAGCACGACAGAAGATGCGAGGAAGGTATCAGTCGCCTGATGATGATCCATGCCCGGGTCCTTGCATGATCAGCTGATCCCTTGCCTGCAGGCGTTCGCCGACTACTCACACCCTCACCAACTTACCAGCTGCCTTGACTGACGAAGTTGGGACCTGCGTCTGACTCCACTAAGTTGAGCGCCTCATCAGCCATGTTAGTAAACCGGTGACCTCAAACCATCATTATTAACTAGTGAGCATTCCGTCGGTCCGATGGCCGCCGCATGGCGGCCGCCGCGGCCGCTGTCGCGGCCCGATCACCGTGCACTGGCCGGGCACTACCGTCGCCTCCGGTCACGGTAACCCCGGACCGTGGCACAGCGGCCTGGGCTAGCACGGCCGCGTCATGCCCTGCGGCCCCACGGTGACTCCGGGACCGTAGTGACAGAGTACGGCCCACGCCGGTAGGCGCTGGCCGGGCCGTCTGAGCCCCCGGGGCCGCCGCCCGCCGGGAGCGGCGCGGCTGCCCCGGCTGACTCGGGGGCCGCTCAGCGGGCTGAGGGCCGCCCTCAGTTCCGAAGTTCCGAGTGACTGATTGCCGAACCCGGAGTCGGTGGGGCTCACGATGGAGGCTGGAGTTGGCAGGCCGCTGACGGTCGGCCGGTCTCTGTCCGACCGTCACGGCGGTCCGATCTGATCTGCACTGCGGCAAGAACGCCAGTCGGCCCCACCGGGACGGCCCAGTTCGATCGGACAGCCGGGTGACCGGGCCGCGCGATCCGGCGCCGGTCAGAGTCGAGTCCGCCGGACTCCCCGCCTCAGTCAGGCCCTGATCCGGGCCTGGCGTCGGACTGCCAGGGTCACGGTCCGAATCACTGAAGCGGCAGACGGTCCGGGTGGCCGCAAGCCTGAACTTGGAAGGGTTGAATCAGTGCGGATCATGCCCGGCGATTGCAGCTGCTGTTGTAGGCGATGAGCGTTACAATTGCGACGGTTAAAAATCCTCCGGCGGAAGCGCGTGATGGCGCCACAGGGCGAGCGATTGAAGGGGAGGAGAAGAGGGAGAAGAATGACGAAGGAGAGCGACAGGGAGACAAGGACATGAAGATGCTAGATGAGTATGACCAACTATGTAGATGACAGGACAAGTGCAGACAGTGCAGGGACGTCAGTTGTGTTGTTAGCTTGTTCCCCTAATTCCTTGTTTACAATCACCTTGTCTTGAATATTGTTGGTATTTTATGCTCTTTGTCACAACCTTCAACAAACATTTAGAAGAATGTCTTGAATGCCTCCCAACGTTTTTCAAACTGCTGCCGTTGTTTGCTCCTCGCCCCTTCTCTCGCTGAGCTGGACCCTTGCGAAGCATGTACCCCTGCTCAGTTTTCCTTGGCCATGAACACTCGACGAGCAGCTAAATGTCATGACAGGGATCGTTCACGTTGTCGGACTGAAAGAAGAATCATCAAACACCCTCGGCATTCATGGTGTGACGATGTATCAGGATGCCATGCGTTCTCTGAACTCCCCCTGCAGCTCTTCTACTCTGTTTTCAAGCGATTGATAGGGAAGGAAATCGTTGTAGAGCTCAAGAACGACCTGGCGCTCAAGGGAACCCTACACTCAGTTGACCAGGTTGAGACTTGCAAGGGAGAGGGAGGAGGAGGAGGAGGAGGAGGAGGAGGAGGAGAAGGAGAAGGGAGTGTGTTTGTGACGGGGGGTGAAGAGGAGGAAGAGGAGTAGGATGACGTGGTTGTTGCAGTACCTCAACTTTAAGCTGCTGGACGTGCAAGTCATCGACGAGGAGCGCTTTCCTCACATGGTTCGCTCCTCGTCCTCTAGGGCTCGAAAGGTTCTCATCCCCGTGTCTCAGGCATCAGTCAAGAACTGCTTCATCCGAGGGTCTGTCGTGCGCTACGTTCAGATCCCCCCTGGTGAGCGAAGAGGGACTGGAGGGGAGGGGAGGGGGAGGGAGGTGAAAGGAGAGGAGTTCTGACCTAAGAGTGTTACAGGTGAACTCGATCCCGAGGTCTTGCAAGACTCAACAAGAACAGAAGTGGCCAAGGAGCATGCGAGCCGGTGAAGAGGAGGATGAGGATGAGGAGGGGAAGGAGAGAGGGTTAATGTGAGCTGTGTCTTTGATTAAACTTGAACCTCGATGTGTTTATTCGCATCGCATCTCAGGATTGATTTATTCATAATACATTTCAATATGAAAATGCATCTCAGGATTGATTTATTCATAATACATTTCAATATTAAATTCATCTTATGATCTTCTGTGTTACATGTCAACGCCTCTAAGGCTCCTGGTACATCTCATGCCGTATCTGATGTGCTCGCATCTGCCAGCTCGTCACATCACAACGACGTGGAAAGGGAAGCGCTCACAATGATCTCATTTCGCTTCTCCTGCATCAGCCTCAAGATGTCTTCCTGTCTCCTCCACATCCCTGCCACTTTTCTCAGTCCTCGTCTGCCAGCTCGCAGACAGCAAGTAAGGTCCTCACCTTGTATCCCAGCATGACTCTCGTCAATGTGTTCTGGCCACCAACGTCAACAACGAGGCCTCGACGCACAAGAGCCGCAAACCTCGACCGCCTTCTGAGTGTGACAAGTCGTTTCTGTGAGTTCCGTTCAGTCGCGCGTCCTCTCGGTGGGATGACGTGGCACCATTCTCAGCATGAACCTGCTGCGTCTCAGCCTCACCCTCCCCACGTTCATCGATCATCCTACCGCCCCCTCGTTTAGGTCGAGGTCACTGATCTCCAGGCGGTCAACAACAGTGTTGTTCTGTGCCAGTCACATTTAGTTTGCTTCCATCGGCCACGAGCGATCAGCATTACCCGCAGCACATGGTCCTCCACAGCGATGGTCTTCGCCACGTGCAACTGCACACTAAGTCGATATCCAGCGAGAGCCCAGCCAGACGCTCTACCTCATCGCCGTTGACAGCCATCGCCTCCTTCCTCTCCTGGTTCACTTCATCCGAAAGCGCATCATCCAGCTGATCGTTCCGTCACAAACTCACGGCCAGCCCACGGAAATTTCATAGTCGTACCGAGTCGTATTGCGGCGCCTGATCTCTAACAACATGCGCTCTCCTGTAGGTAGTATCAGATGGAGCATAGTTCCAGGCCCGAGTCATCACCCGTTTGCGACGTGCTTCACTTTACCATTCTGAGTCTCATCGAGAGCGTACTTGGGTTCCTGCACATGAGTATCTTAAGGATTCGACAAGGTGCTGGAGTGCCTTGCCACCTGGGAAAGAACATCCGCGCCGTTATGCACATGATTCTGATGGTTCTCTCCGTCTTCCATCCCTTCAGCCCCTGGGGGAACAACCATCGCGTCCACTTCTTCTGGAGCATCAGGAGTCGTGCAGTCTGAGAATATTTCGTTTCCAGCCTCACTGTATTGCCTCCCATCCACGTCATCCGTCCGCTGAGAGCTTCGTCCTCGCGCTGACGCTCTTCCTCGTCTTGTAGGTGGCCGCACCCCTCTCGCTTCATCAATCTTGGGCAGGAACTGATCACTCCCGCTGCCGGCTGTAGCCTGATCAGCGTTGTCGTCCTCGTTCGAGACCTCGGGGACCTGAGCCAAGTCTGTCATGTGGCTTCTTTCATCGTCGCCGAGCTGAGGGGCCTCGCCCACAAGGTTGTCTCCGCCGGTCAGTCCCATGTAGTTATTCTGACTGCGAACGTACATCCCGCGCCCCCGTCGCGACTTGGGTCTGGCGCCAGTGGCTTCATCAAACGACACGAAGGAACCAGCTGTGGTATCCGGCTCCTTGTACTCAACCCGTTCCATTGCAGGTTCGTACTTGCCTTTATCTTGGGATCCTCTGCTGTCCTCGTCGTCGCATACCATGGGGGCCTCTTCTGCCATCCTGTGAGCATCCTCCTCGTACTCACGAGACCTGATTCCCCTTCCCCTCCTGCTCTTGGGTCGCAAGCCCATCGCTTCTTCTTTGGCATACAGAGAGTTGCTCATCTGCAAGTCCTGACCCTCCACCTGCTGCTCCACCTCAAGATCCTTCGAGCGTGCACTGGGCTCTTGCGATTCCGCCCATGCTTCCTTGCGGGATTGGTTCAACTGCGATGCTTGTCGCGAGCCAAGTTCTGCCTTTTCTGGGCTCGACTGTGAATCAGCAGGTACGTTGACATTCAATTTCCCCTGCATCTAGATTAATAATCGGAAGCAGCACAAGTCTGGATGAGCTCATACCATGACCAGCCTTGCATCCTTAGCTGAAGGCTTGGGTCCATGCTGTTTGGCATGAGACTTGAGAGCTGCGATGAAGATTTCAGGAGGTCGATCAAGCAGTCATTTCATGACTCATTACATTGAACTCTTGACGAAAGCTCCAAAATTGGCGCGATGTCTCGGGCCATGCGATCCATTTCTCGCAACTTTTGAGTCCAGGTCGGGTTGGGGTTCTGGGCCACAGTGTCTCGAGCAGGTTTGCTCACAGTCTTGGCACTTTTACCGAGAGTCTGTTGCTGAGCTTTTCTCTGCACTCTAGATTCCTGAAAGGATTCCATGTTGGATTTCCCCATCTCGTAGCCTTTGCGTAGCACCTCAATGTCATTCTTCAGCTTGGACAAAGACACAGTAATTCCATCTTGGCTGCGACCTTTCTCAGAAAGCTTTTCTCCCGTTTTCTGAGCATAAAGCCTTCCACTCTTGTTCGGAGCGGTCTTGGGCCTTCCGCCAAAGGATCTCTTTTCTGAATTTTGATTTCGCTTTCTCTGATGGTCTTGCTCTGTAAAGCGTTCTCGAGTATTGCTCAGGTTTTCATCGACGACCGGTGTTTCTTTGATGCAATTGCAATATCTTGGATCGAATTTGCTGGCTAGATTCTCTGCTTCATGGTGCTTCACAGACATATCTGTGCAGGACAGTCATGGTGCAGAACAGGGAAAATCACCGTACACAAGTAGACTAAGGCAGCAGCAATGATAGCAAGAGGAATGTTTCATGTGTAATCCTACCTTGCTTCTTGGCTTGGTCACTGTGAATATCTTGCGAATATGATGCTCTTAGTTGCTCCCTGGAAGTCGTCGCTGCCAAGGACAGGGCGCCGATAGAAAATTCTTCACTGCAAATGGCGTCAGCGGAAAGAAGGGTTCACAAAAGAGAGATCAAGAAACCTGCCCCCCTTGGATTCGCTATTGCCCAGAAGAGGCTTGGAATGAGGTGGCAAACACATGATTCTGATTCGATCCGACGGAGTCAGGTGCGGTTCTGTAAAGCATTTCGTTTCCAAATCATGTTGACCGACATGGATATTGGCATAGCCACGGGAATAACCTCTTCCTCTATCCATATGCCTGTCATTGTCATTGTACTCCTTGACATTCTTATGAAGTTCAGCACGGACAGTTTGAAACATTGAGATCAGCTCCGCCTCCTCGTGATCAGCATCATTCGTTCCTCCAGGCTGACTTGCGTTCAGGTTCTCTGAAGCTTTCCACATTTCTCTTATGGCAGAACTCGAGTCGTCAAACTGCCTTTGCAAACTGGATTGATGGACAGCATATTGTTCATTCAACCATTTCTGAAGATGCTGCTGCTGCGATTCAGCTTGCTGAACCGACTCATGGTCGATTTGAGCCTTTTTGAGAGGGGAGCCCTTGGGATAATTGATGTGACACGATATGTTTGTTTGGAGAGGCGCATCATGGTACACGCCCATAGAAACAGATCCATTCGGACGCACCAACTTGTTCATCAGGTTTGCGAAGGTTTGTCTCAGTATATCTTCGTCGTCGCTCTCCACCAGGGAGCCCTGCAACATAGTCAAAATTGTTGACATCCCTGCAGCAGCGCTGACCGCATCATCATCCAGAATCACTCTGGTATCCATGCTTGCAGGTACTTGAAATCGAGGTTCCTCTGTGCATAAGTTTTGGTCAGGGCTGAGGGGAGGGCGGGGGGTTGCATCAGCATCCGCAGCAGTGCAAACCTTCATCGTCCTTGAGGATCTGAGCGCCATCTCTAAACATTCTATCGAATGGACTGAGGCCAGTGTCGTGAGCAAGGGATGGATCATGGCAGATAACACGACACCTCTTGATGAACAGTTCTCTCCGATCCGGTAGAGGCACTGAAATTGGCCTGAGAATCACGTCAGTCCACTTGCAAGACAAGTGGCAACGTTACTCTTTGTTGGAGCCTCGTAGAAGATTAGAGAATTTCAGAGGAATTGGTGTCACTTTGGAAGACATCTTTGATTTATATTCGGCCTCTCAACTGTAGTTGACAGCCTTCTCTTCACAGATCAACAATAATGCTCATCAGGTTCCCTTGCAATCTGAAGATTCATTATAAGCGGGGTGGGCAGAAATCCAAGGCACTCCTCACCAGCAGACGTCCTCAGATGTAAGTGAGGCTTGATCGAAGACTAGACCAGACGGACGAGACGGAATTGATGAAGTCTATCTTGCCCGGCTCAAGTTCCCTCGCCACAACCCCACTCACTATAAGCAGCTTCACCAGCGCAGGACGGTAAACGATCGTGAGGTCTTCTCTAGCGTGTAGAGATATCACACGGCTTACAATCAGATGGCTTTCAGGTTCAAACAATCTCCTCCTCTGCTCTGCTCTCCTCTCCTCCCTTCTCTCTCCTCTCCTCTCCTCTTCCTTTTTACTCCCTCTGCTACGCTATCCGCCCCTGCCATCCGCCACAAAGGCCCCGCCTTTTGTTCCACCCTACCCTCGTCACAAGTACCCTACCATACTCATTTTCGTTCACCTTATCGATATACCCGTGGTTTTGTCTGGTGATAACCTCTTCAGAACCCTGTTATGGGGACCACAATAAACCCCCTACCCATGGACTATTGTCCCCTACCCCACCATTGAAATCATCCAGCAGTACCCACCCAGAATTGGTACTTCTACAATCACCCCCAGTGCTGGAACTACCCCACGACCTTGCTATACCTACCCCCGATTTGACGACCCCTAGTTGACCCATCCACTTTTTCACCACCCCCTATCAAAAGGAGCACAAGAAAAGAGTACCCCAATATTTCCCACAATTTGACCCCACCTAGCCTAGGTAACCCTTGGACCTACTAGATTCAGCAATACCACCCTCCATGACCCTCTTCAGGAGACTCTCCCACCCACCCCTCGTACCTGCCACCGTTGGGGACGGCCAGAGGATTTACGAACCCTTAGTACAGTGCAAGGTTTTGAATATATATATTTGTACCACTCAATTTTTATAACATATCAATACAAATTTTGAAAAGGATCTAAAACTCTAAAACGAATCCCAGTACTACACGAACAAAAGTCCAATAATATGTTGGGGTGGGGTCCATTGGTGTAATTGACAAGGCAGGGTGATTCTAAGACAAATAAAGGAATGATAAGGGGGGTGGGTTTAAAAAAGAAGGGTGGGGTGATTTCAATCTGTACCATGTATTGAATTTTTACAATATTATTTTTGACAGGGACTACCCCTACCCTCATGTGAGATCAAATGAACAAAATCTTGGGGAAAAGTACCCCAGTTCCTACCACCCCCACCCTCAAAGAGTGATATGCCTCTGAATGTTTCAACGAGCATCGTTCCTGATTCAAACCTTTGATCTAACATTGAATTGATCAACAAAAAGTTTTTGAAATCTCATTGGAGTATTTCGGGATCAACGGTGCCAAACTTGAACGATGGCCCCCTTAAAAGTATTTTTGGGAGCTCTTGGATTCCAGTACAAAGTAAAATTGATTTTTGAAGAACTTTTTCGGGCCGACCGGTGACCGGCTCGGCAGGCCCGCCGGTCACAGTTGGCCCGAGCAATGGCAACTTGCTTGAACTTTCATAGTACTCCGAGTCTTTACTCAAAGTTAAGTTAAAGATCAGCACGAGGACAATCAGGAGAGTCGAGGAGGCTTGACCCTGACACTGTCGCACTGAGTCAAGCCTCCTCTCCTTTAACTTAACTCAGTAACTTCAGCCTGAGTGGCAAGTCATGACCGTGTGGCATGGCGGATCGGATGAATGCCATCCGATGATCCGATGATCCGATGATCGGCAGCCGCACTCAGTGTCGCCGGGCCGCCCGGCGACCGGACCGTTCTGAGTGACAACTTGAGCCTCGGAGGTCGTACGGCATGGCAGCGGCGCTGACCAGGTTGAAGAGACGAGTCACGCTTGCTGGTAAATCTACAGGAAAAGAAGCAAACGAGCTGAGAACTTACTGACCGTCGTGGCCTCATCGACCTGACTCTGAGCTACGGCTAGACTCTGACAGTCGGGGTCCGCCGATTACGGGAGATTGCTGTTGTTGCTGCTCCAAGCCCTCACTCCCACGCAAGCCTCCCCTTGTCCTCTCGCCGGTGTGCAGCAAGCCTTGCAACCCCCTGTCCTGCTGCTTCTGTACCCCTTCTTGCTGCTGCTGCTGCTGCTGCTGCTGCTGCTTCTGTACCGCTTGTTGTTGTTCCTGCTGCTGTACTCCTTGCTGTTCCTGCTGCTGCTGCTGTACCGCTTGTTGCTGTTGTTGTTGTTCCTGCTGCTGTACCCCTTGTTGCTGCTGCTGCGGCATCTGCTGCTGCTGCGGCATCTGCTGCTGCTGCGGCATCTGCTGCTGCTGCGGCATCTGCTGCTGCTGCTGCTGCTGCTGCTGCTGCTGCGGCATCTGCTGCTGCTGCTGCTGCGGCATCTGCTGCTGCTGCTGCGGCATCTGCTGCTGCTGCTGTACAGATTGTTGCAGTTGCTGCTGCTGCTGCTGCTGTACCCCTGGTTGTTGTTCCTGCTGCTGTTGCTGTACAGCTTGTTGCTGCTGCTGCTGCTGCTGCTGCTGCTGCTGCTGCTGCTGCTGCTGCTGCTGCTGCTGCTGCTGCTGCATCTGCTGCTGCTGCTGCTGCTGCTGCTGCTGCATCTGCTGCTGCTGCTGCTGCATCTGCTGCTGCTGCTGCTGCAGCTGAATCTGCTGCATCTGCGTCTGCTGCTGCTGCTGCACCCCTTGTTGTTCCTGCTGCTGCTGCTGCTGCTGCTGCTGCTGCTGCTGCTGCTGCTGCTGCTGCTGCTGCTGCTGCTGCTGCTGCTGCTGCTGCTGCTCTTGTTGTTCCTGCTGCTGCTGCTGCTGCTGCTGCTGCTGCTGCTGCTGCTGCTGTACAGCTTGTTGCAGTTGTTGTTGCGGCTGCTGCTGCTGTGAGCTCAGCAATATCTGCTGCTTCTCCCCGCCATCACTCAAGCTTCCCCCTACCCCTGAATGTAGCGGAGCCGAGACTGCCACACCCTGCTGCTGCTGCTGCTGCTGTACAGCTTGTTGCAGTTGCTGCTGCTGCTGCTGCTGCTGCTGTACAGCTTGTTGCAGTTGCTGCTGCTGCTGCTGCTGCTGCTGCTGTACAGCTTGTTGCAGTTGCTGCTGCTGCTGCTGCTGCTGCTGCTGTACAGCTTGTTGCTGCTGCTGCTGCTGCTGTACAGCTTGTTGTTGCTGCTGCTGCTGCTGTACAGCTTGTTGCTGCTGCTGCTGCTGCTGCTGCTGCTGCTGCTGCTGCTGCTGCTGCTGCTGCTGCTGTACAGCTTGTTGCAGTTGCTGCTGCTGAAGCTGCATCTGCTGCTGCTGTACAGCCTGCTGCTCTTGGTGTGGATGATGCATCTGCATCTGCTGCTGCTCCCCACCATCGCGCAAGCCATCCCCTGCACCAGACTGCCTCGAGGCTAGAACTCCCATACTGCTGCCCTCGCGCAGCCCTCCTGCAGCACCTGAGCTTGAGGCGGCTCCACCCTCCTGCTCCACGTGCTTCCCGATCGTTCTGTCAAGTTCGCCTGCCATTGGCCCGGAGCTCCTGACAGCCACGCTTCCTCCAGCACCAGCAGATTTCTCCTCCTGCTGAACCCCCCCCGTCTCTGCACTGCCTCTCCCCTCCTGGCTGCTCGCAGACCGTCCGCTCTCCGCGCTACTCACCTCTGCAACGTGCTGCGGCCTGTGCCTGATGCTTGGGACCTGTGCCGCGTCCTCACTCGTTCCCGCCGACTCAGTTGGATTTTCAGTTCCTGCTGGGAGTTTCACACCAACGGGTTTCAGCCCCTGCAAGGAAGAAGCGCGGCTGCTCCGCTTCCTCACAAGCGGGGAGACAAGAAGGTACCTGAGGTCAGCTTGTGATGCAGGTGACTCAGCAGCCCGTTGGTGAGGGAGGCATACGTCTTGGCGTTGGACACGTTGACTGAAGGAGCCTGTCAGTGCTGTACGCGCTAGGAAGGACGGGGGAAGAACCTCGCGCTAGATCTCCTCGCAGCAGGTCGAAGACGGAGAGCAGCTCCTCGTGGTCCACCAGGTTGTCAACGTTCTTGTCGGCCATGGCAAAGATGATTTGCAGGGCCTCCGCGTCCTGACGACCAGCACCGAAGTGCAGCTGCAGAGAAGAGGGGAACATCAGGGCCGAGCACGAGTAGGAGCACGGCATGTTACTTGAAAACTTCCTTGGCTGATCCCTGCGCTCCCGTCGTTCATCTCCCCGAAGAATCGCTTGCACAGCAACCTGAAGGAGCAGGAGCAGTCAGAACTTCACTTCCCTCCGTGCTCATCATGACGTACGTCTGCTCCTCTGCCGTTAGCGTGTTGACGTGCGCGAAGGACTGGCCCTGGAACGACGTGAGGACGACAGGTAGGAGGAGGAGAAGGACGAGAAGGAGGAGGAAGAGGACAAGAAGCAGCAGCATGGTGGTGGTAGTGGTGGAGGAGCAGAAGGCTGACCTCGCATGACGACGCTACTTTGCCTTGTGTCGGGCTCACTATGTTCATGTAACCATGCGACTCTGTCCTCCGGGTGTTGCTGGAACAAGAACGGCAGAAGAACTTTGAGGACTTTGCATGCACTGAGAGACTGGTGGCCTTGGGGTAAGAGCAGATGCCGTCCTCATAGCGAAAGTATTCACAAGTGCTGCTCTCCTGACATAGCCTGCGCCACGCCCATGAGTGAAGGTGGTAGAAGAGGAAAAGGGAAGGGGAAGCAGAGGGCGGCGAAATTGTGGAGAACGAGGGGTGGTTGTAGTAGATGCACGATACAGGAGGAGGAGGAGGAGGTGGTGGTGGTGGTGGTGGTGGTGGTGGTGATGATGATGATGATGATGATGATGATGATGATGATGACGACGATGATGATGATGATGATGATGATGATGATGATGATGATGATAACGGTTTCAAGTCACCTGCAGCACTGTAACATGGTCTCGGCTGTTCCTCGGATAATCCCAACATTCTCCGACATGATACGAGAATACTTCTGGTCCATGTACCTCGCAAACGCCCCGACGATGAATCGGTCGCAAGTCCACGTGCACCCGCACTGAGAGTCGAGAGGGTCGTGCGTGCTGCGATGGTCTGACCTCTCATCGACAGGCGCGACGCTCGCGTTCCAGACGTGAGACGAGTCGTGGACAGCGATGCTGTCCGCTGGGTCCCCGGGGGGGAGGATGATCACGTCCGACGAGGAGTTGGGGGAGGTTTCTGCAGCCAAGGACGCGTTCTCATGCGCGCCTGACCGCAGGCCGGACGGGAAGGACTGAGGGAGGACACAGCTGACCGTCATGTAGAAGTTGGACGTGCACCTCTTGGCGATAAACTCTGAGATCAGTGAGCCTCCTCTGCTGATCTCTGGGTTGAGGTGGAACTTGTGCTGGTAGTCCACGTTGTACCTTATGGGCATCTCCCCGTCTGAGGTGCTCTCGATGTGGTGAGTCACCAGCACCGTTCTCAGCTTGCGGAAGTTCTCAGCTGGGTACACGCTGGAGATCCAGTCGTCCATCCACCAGTCCATGAGCACGGGGGGGTAGTGGACCCCGAAGATGTGCAGGTGCGTGACGTGCACGAAGTCATGTGTCAGGATCCTCTCGTTCCCTTCCCGGCACGTGGGTCCCACCACCCCCACGTTGGGAGGCTTAAAGGAGAGCAGAGTACGGATGTAGGACGAGGTCCACGCGGTTCTGAACTCAGTGTCGTCGTTGATGCGGTAGATGTAGTCTGCCCCGTCCAGAGCCGCCGAGGAGGAGAGAAAGTTGAAGACGGGGCCTGGCTTCTTCAGCAAGTTCTCAAACCCCAGCACGGCTAGTTGCATCTCGACTCCGCGCTGGAGGTTGGGGTTGCGGATTTGGGTTTCGAAGTGAACCTTGATCTGCTGGAGGACCTGCTGGTTGTCGAAGAACAAGTCCCCCACGTCATACCCCATGTACACCGCATAGTCATACCCCAGCTCGGCCGTCTGGCTGATCGACGGGAGGCAGAACCTGATCAGAGGGACCTCTTCGATGCCCTTCCAGCGGAAACCATGGGAAGTGACAGGGATGAGAACGGCGACACGGGGGAACTTGACTCCTGTCCTCTCCCTCCACATCGCCCTCTTCTTCCTCCTCGCTGCCTCCCAGATCCCTTCCGTTGTGATAGAGAAGGGCAGGTTTATCCGTCTCGACCTCGAGAACCAGCTCCCCGTCTCCTTGCTCGCCTGCAGCTGCACAGCGCTGGCGTCGCACCCCACGCTCGTGAAGCAGTCGCAGTTGAGGCTGGTCCACTCCTCCTGCAGCGATTTGGGCAGCCACCCCCACGACCGACCGGGGAGGACGCTATACTTCTTCTCCATGTCCTTGCACTTGGTCCCTGCCCCCTGGTTACTCAGTACGCTTCTTTTCTCGTCCAGGAGCTCATCGCAACGAAGGTCCCTCCACAGTCTCTTCTCCTCCTGCGGCTGGGAGGAATGTCCCCGCATCCGCTGCTTCCTCCACAGGCTGTCAAGGTTGCGGCATCGCTGCTTGTCGCGACTAAATTCGTCCTTGTCCTGCACCACCCGAGTCCTCGAGCTCCAGGAGTCGAGGCCTTTGGACTCTCCCGTTTCGATCTGACTGTGGAAGGAGAAGTGTAACGTCGTCACAAATATGATGACGAACAAGAGCAGCGTGTACAAGTTCGATCGGCAGGGGTAGAAGATACAGCTCAACAGTTCTGACGTGAACACGGCACAAGTAGCAAACGCGTCCTGCATGCATTCCTCCACGTCGGTGGAGTCTGGATCTATCGCTCTCTTCATAGATCCTCGCTCAGGTTTCTTCACCTTCCTCACCTGCCTCGGCTGCATCAGCAGCTTCGGCTGAAACTTCTTGGGTTTCTCCATGCTCGAAACGGTTCCAACCCTTGAACTCGGCCCTCCCCGTGCAGTCAAGGCATGAGCTTCAGCTCCTCCTCCTCCTCCTCATCGTCGCATCTTCCAGTCCCTAGTCGGTCCAACTCTCTCCCCTCACTTCCTCGAGCTCTCCCCCCCACCCCCTTCCCTCCCATAGCTCCATGCCACCACGCCATCGCAAACGATGTGGCGAGGATGAGTGGGGATGAGGGCTACATAGCGCCTTTTGTGTACGGGCATGAAGGGGATGAGGGTGAAGATGTTTCAGTCAATTCTGAAGTGAACACCGCGATGGCTACGCATGTGCGGGGCGGGACGGGGGGAGGAGGAGGAGGAGGGGGAAAGGGAGAGGGAGGGAAGGATAACGATGGCATGGGGAAGAAGGATAAGAAGAGATGTGTTGGGGTAGGAAGCCAAGAGAGGACAGCAAGCCGTAGAGCTCAAGTAGACGAGGGTTTAGGGGAGGAATGGGCGTGGCATGGCAACAAGATGCGAGTTATGGCACAGACAAGAAGGGGGAGGAGAGGAAGGAGCGACGAGGAGCAACTTTCTTTGGTTCTGACCTCTTGCTTGTCAAGACCCGTTCCCATGCCACGAGACTACTATGAAGTGCTCGGGGTTCAGAAGAGTGCGGAAAAGCGGGACATCGAAAAAGCGTACTGAAGCACTGACCTGTTCTGGATGGCGGTAAAAGTCTTGCAGGTACAAGAAGTTAGCGTTAAAATGGCACCCGGACAAGAATCCTGATCGTCCTCAGCATGCCGAGGTAGAGAGCACGTGGAGCTTTCTTCAAATCAACTCAAACATTGAATGCAGAAAATGTTCAAGGAGATCAACGAGGCGTATCAGGTGGGCGGCAGCTGGATATGTCGATGCATCATGGCTGATCATGTCGCCTCCATCAGATCCTCACCGACGACCAGAAGAGAGCTCGATACGATCAGTTCGGACACGAAGGCGCCAACATGGGAATGGGTGGAGGCGCTAGGCATGGAGGGATGTACGCGCAGGAGTACGTGGAAGCTGCTGATGCGAGAGAGGAGCGTGTGACATGCTGTGTGGCAGGATGAGACCAGAAGATCTCTTCAACTTCTTCGACCACATGGGTTCTGGTGCGACTCCCCTCCACGTCATCTCACTTTCCCCCTCCTTCCTTGTCCTCCTCCTCTTCCCTCCCCTCTCCCGCCACCCGCAGCATCGTCGACCGTCACCGACTGCTTTCAGGCTTTGCCTTCGGTCCTGGCGTGCATTTCCGGTTTGGGCCTGGAGGAGCTCGTTACTATCACGGTTTGAACTGCACCTGAGCTTGAAGTCCTTGACACTTTTCTTTTGTCTTGCTGTTGTTTTTCCATGCGATGTTGTGTACTGGTTGCTTCTTTCTGCCTTCCTCTTGTTGTTGCAGCAAGAGGTAACACCTGTTGTCTGATGCCAGTGATTGTTGTCTGATGTCTGACTTTTGGCTGCCTTCAAGTGTGATTGTGTTACCGAAATCGTAATTTTGTGTTTTTGTGGTGTTCAGGATCGACAAGGAGACAGGCGCCTCAACAGCCTGATAGCACTTTTGGACTTTTGCAGGTCAGTTGTCCTCACCTCCATCTTCATCTTCATCTTCATCTTCATCTTCATCTTCATCTTCACTTTTCCTCTGCCTCTTCATCTTCATCTTCATCTTTGTCCATCTTCCATCCTTTGTGTCACTACCTTATACACCTTGTTGCTGACTGCTTTCTCAGCTGATGCCGATCTTGTTGATGTTCCTCTTCATGTTCAGCAATTTCTCAACCAACGAGAAATCTTCGACAGCCTCCCAGGTTCTGCTCGACATCAAAACGACAACCTTCTTGACCTCCCGTAGTTCACGTTTGAGAGAGATTCCATCCACATTGTGAAGCGAAGCTCTTCCATGCGAGGAGTTCCATACTACGTCAGACCAGCCTTCGAGAGTGCGGTAGATACATTGCTCTCCTCTCCTCTCCACTCGCCTCGTCCCGTCCGCAGTCCTGCTTCGCTGTGCAGTGCTCTGCTCTGCTCTTCTCTGCTCCCCTATGCTTTCCTGTCCTTTGCTCTTCCATGCTCTCTTCTGTGCTCCTCTGCTCTGCTCCTCCATCTCCTCCCCCTCCCAACTCTCTTCTCCCCTTTACTCTTCACGCTCGTTTGCTCACATGCTTGCTGTAGATGCATGCTCGCTTCGGGGATCGATCACACTGGATGGAAGAGTTTGACGTGCGTTCCTCCTGGTGCTCCTTGTGCTCCTGAGAAAACTTGTGGCAGGTGCGGGTGGAGGCAGACTATCACGCGAAGCTGCGGAAAGATTGCGATGCGGAGACGAAGAAGAGGGAGAAGCAGATGAAGGTGCAGAGAGTGGAGCATGAAGGATGCAAGGGAGAATTGGATGGGGGGAGAGGGAAGGGAGAGAAGGGAGGAGAGGAGGGAAGGAAGTTGAGGGAGGGGAGGAGGGGAGGGAGTTGAGGGGATGAAGAGAGGAGAAGGAGCTGACTTGGTCGGCAGTCGGCGATGGTGAGTGAGAGCGTCGAGGAGATGAAGAAATCATTCTCCGACACGATGCCCAGCTGCGAGAAGCTCTACGATGTCTTTGGGGATTTTTACTGATAGTCGTCATGCTACGAGTGTTAACTAGAATCATGGTCTTCCTGCTCTGCTTGCCCGGCCAGCTCGAGGAGGTTCAGATCTGTGGAGCCTCCCCTGCCCCCCTCCCCTCCTGCATGAAGGAATTTCGCCAGCCCCTGCACATGCTGCGAGTTGAGGAGAGCAGCGTCGGCAGGCAGAGCTTACCTGTAGGAGGACAACCACTGGCCGAACTCTCCCGACGATCCCAACCATCTGCGTCGAGCCATCACTCGAGAGCTACCAGGTCTGCCCACCTACATGTCCAGCTGATGCCGCCATGGGGGCCGACGATATGGAGACTATCACGCTGAGCTCAGTAGGAGAGCAGGAGCAGGAGAGGAAGCGGGACGGGGAAAGTGACGATTGAGAGGGGATAGTTGTAGAGGAGGAACAGCAGCAGCAGCACCCGCAGCAGGTGGGGGGGGGGGGGGAAGGGGCAGCAGCAGCAGCAGACCTCCTGTGGGCGAAACAAGGACATGGGACGACAAGGTTTTCTCGCGCTGCAACAAGATGAGAAGAAGAAGGAGCTGAGAACTTGTTACATGTCATACTGCCTTGCCCCCGACGGGTAGAAACATCCTTCCCCAGCTGTAGCGTTACAGTCTGCAACTCTCTTGATGCCAACCTGCCATTCTCTCATACTCAGTAGACACTTGCCTCCTCCTCCTCGTTCGCCTCTCCTCTCTCCTCCTCTCTCCTCTCTCCTCCACTTGTCCTCCACCTCGCTCCTCCTCTCCTCTCTTCTCCTCTTCCTCCTCCTCCTCACATCAAGCCCGAACTCCTTCTCCAATGAGTCGCCGTAGACGCGTCGACGCACAGCTCGCCTGCCGACAGGTTTAGGAGGGTCAAGAGGCGTCTGCGAGGACCTCGAGTAGAAGTGATCGATGGCTGAGGCTAGCGGGAGGTTGGCGGGGGACCTGAAGCGTCTTCAGCGACCGATGGGAGGGGAGGGATAGCTGACGGCTCGAAGGGAGGAACCATGCTGCCCTCCACTTGCGGGAAGACGTCGGGGATCGTTTCCTAGGTCGAGCTGGCGTCAGGGGCGAGGGAGAGGCAGGTTTCTCAGCTGCTGTGTCACCTGCCAGCGGCTCAAAGCATCTTCCCTGGTCAACAGCAGACTCACAACGTCTTCAGACCTGCGCTGCAACATCAGCGCCACGTGTCTACAACGAGCTCATGCTCGGATAAAGCACCATCTGTTCCCCCATACCCCTCTAATTCCTGCTCCATGCTCGCATGTCTCTCTGCTATGTGTTCTACCTCTCCCCCTTCCCCCTCTCCTCCCGTTTTGTCATCGTTCTGCTCTTTTTGCTTCCTAGAAGCCTCTCCACATCTGATCTGATCTCATCTCATCTCATCGCATCGCATCTCGTCTCATCTCGTTCTCTCATCTTCCACGCTTCTCTTCTTCACCTTCCCGACGCGACCAGACCGAGGTACAAGATGTTGTACTTGGTCTGCAGCACTTGCTGAAGCACTCCGATCTGAAGGTTGCACCTGCAGCACGTGAGAGGAGACGAGGAGGAAGAGGAGACAGGCACGGGTCTGAGGTCGTGCAGTTCTTGACGTAAGACTGGAAGCTGAACGCGTCTACTCGGACTGTTTGCGGGAAGATTGTGACGAGACCAGTCGCTGCTTCGACCTGCCAGTAACCTCAGACGAGGAGACGGAGAAGGAAGGGAGGACGGGAGCGATGCGAGTACCGTTGCGCTGGTCAGCAGGGCGTCAAAGCGAAGCTGTGGCATGGTGATGTTCCAGAAGAGGTCGGCTCGAAGAGTTGGAGTCTCAGCAGAGACGGCATTGTTCTCCTGCTCGCGCGCTCATCTTCCAGCATTCTTCATCCTCACTCACCATCGCAGACCCGAGCAGCCCGTCAGAGGACGTCACCACAGCTCCCAGCACCGAGCAGGTGCCCCCGCTGCAGTCTTGAGCCATGGCGGTCACGAGGGTCTGATCCACCCACATGTCCCTCCCGTTGGCTTGAGGCTCATCAGCAGCAGGTCGCAGGAGGCGACGCGTTACATTTGTTGGCGGCAAACTGCTCGAAGAAGCACAACTCGTAGGCGCAGGCGGACGATGACCTGCGATGAGCGTCAGGCATGGGGGGGCTCGCGTGCGAGTCACTTGGACGCGAGCTTCCTCTGCTGGCAGCACTGCATGTCTGCCGTGAACGCGTCGAGGCCCTGGCTCATCCGGTACTCGATGCCTGCGAGGGACGTCAGGCGCTCGACCGGAGGAGGAGCAAGAGGCGTCACAGCATTCAATGTCGGCTGCCAGCTGCGACTCGCCGTTGAGTTGCCGTCTGAAGGAGATGCAGCAAGACATGAAGGCGCTCTCGTAGCCCTAGTTGACATGCTCACTAGACCTCTCAGCCATCGAGCTCGTTACATTCGCCGGAGATGCCCCGAAGAGAATATTTGTACATAAACTCGTGCAGTTTGGCAGCATGTTGCAGACAGTCATGCAGTCAGGGAACTTGGTTGCCTGCCTCATTGTGAGCACAACACAACAGCAGTCGTGCCAGACCGTAGAGCACTCTGGAGGATTGAAGTTGGGATCTTCACAGATAGTGCAAGCTCTGTCAGGCTCGCGTCAACCGCAAGATAGACGAGGGTAGCGAGCACTTGTTGCCGTTTGCCTGGGGAGCGATGTTGAATGCTGTGCAACCCGCGCCGTACTGCTGGAAGACCTGAGGAGGATGCTCAATATCAGCACGAGCACAGGCAGCTACCAGACTTGGAAGGACTGATCCAGCATCGAGTAGATTCTTGTTGCTATGGCCGAAGGAAACAGTGAGGGCCTGGGATATGGTTGCGTGAGAGCTGGAGGTAGCAGATGGTAGAGTCTCATACACATGGTTGCATCTGTATTCGCATGTCTGCGAGACGGAGTTCCAAGAGCAGGCACGAGTGAACGTCTGGGAGGAGTGAGAGGAGGCAAGAGAAGGAGCAAGTGTCGTCACAGTGGAGTAGATCGCAGCGAGGTCGGCAAAGGAGGAGATGGTTCGGCCTGCAGGGTTCAGTGTCACATGCTCGAGCAGCACACGAGCAGCCAACTACCGCTGATCATCTGACTTGCGTCCGTAGAGGGCGAGGCGCACGCGGCAGCAGTTGCGAACACGTCACATTGAGCCTGCACAATATCAATGGGAGGAGGGACATGCGGGAAGGTAGTCTGCCTGTCCAGCATTGAGCTGCTGTATGCTGATGCCTTGACACCAGGGCAGGAGAGACGAGAACAAGGCCGAGAAGAGGAGGAAACGTACACCAGAGCGCTCGCTCCCTTGCTCCTCCTTCTTTCCTCGCTCCCGCAATGATTTCATCCTTGCTTGCTTGAAGCAACCATCGCCTCCTTGCAGGCCCCTCCTCCTTCTCACTCTCTCCGCCTCCAACGGTCTCTTCGATCTCACACCCTTGCCTCTACCCTCTCTCGTCACCTGTACATGTCCTGCTCATTGCTCTGTACATCCAATGCACCACAATCGAAGCTGCCAGGTTAGCTGCCGAACTTGTCGGGCCTTCATGCGTGGGGTAGGCATGTCATCAACGCTGGTGGGCAACCTTTACTCTCCTCTTAATTCTTCGTTTTCTTCCCTCTGCTCTTCTTCATTCTGTTTTTTGACTCCTTCCCTTTCCCTCTCCCACCCTCATCAGATCCTTCCAACTTCACTCGCGTTGCTCCGCTTCTGATCTTCCCTGTCCTGACTCGTCCTCCTCTATGCATCTCTTCCGTCCTTGAACACTCCTCTCTTGTCCTCCCCGATCCTCCTCGCTGCTCGCAAGCTCCTCGACCTCTTCATCCTTCAACCGCTTCCTCGTCCACCTGTAGCTACTGGATAGCAACACAAATGTTTTTAATTATAGTATTATTGTCTTTACTCATCAACACTTTCAGTACAAATCTTATGGGCACAAAGATTTGTACATGGTACAAAGTCACTTTTAAAATGAAATCATCAAGTCTGCCTAGTGAAGGGTCTAATAATTATTGAAAGACAGCAAAATGTCACTTAAGTCGTACGAGCGATTCATTAGTTGGGCAGCAGTGCGGAAAGCAGAAGACTTTGTCGAGAGTGAAGAAGGAGGGGTACCGTTCATAGCATTGAAAGGGGATGGATGAGGGGTGGTCGAACAAGCCGTTGAGGGAAATGATGGTGGTACAGCGAAATGAGAGGGAAGGAGTTGAGTGAGGGCAGTCCTAGCTGAGATTCTTCACATTGCTAGTGATTCGATAGCGTCAACATGGCCGAACAAGACATGGTTCACTTCAAAGTAGGAGGAGAACGATTCCAGATCAGCAGAGACTATCTCTTGTACGATCAGGAAAGCATACTGTTCAAGATGGTAGATGGAACATGGAACACGCTGAGGGACGAGGATGGATGCATTATCATCGACCGAGATCCGATTAGATTCCGCGTCCTCACCAATTTCCTGCGAACGAGAGAACTTGTTCTCGACTACGGCGTCACTGCATCCGGCATTCTCCAAGAGGCTAGCTTCTTCCAGCTGGAAGAACTTTCCCGCGCAGCTGCGGCCAAAGCAGATGAAAGCGACGAGCTTCGCCTTCTTACCTTGTATGTGGACGAAAGGAGGGGGAAGCTCCTCTGCCGCAGAGGAGAAGGAGAGGAGAAGATCCCCTCCAAAGCTGGCCTGACCATCTCCTTGTTCCGGGAAGCCCTCGTCCTTGTCTCACTGCATCTCGGCAAGGTTTCAGGCTTCAGCGTCAGCATCGCCTGCGGGTCTGATGGCAAGGAGGAGGAGAGACCTGCTGTGTGGAAGACAGAGGACAGCAGGAAGCAATCCGCCATGTTTCGGCTGAGTGCAGGAGAGCATTCCATCCGGCTCAACTTCACAGCCCGGGGATCGGGTGCCTTCAACGAAGTGAGTGAGGAGACAGTGAGGATATCCGACCTTAGACCACATGGCAGATTGCGAGCGTGTACGGACCTCTGAGACTTGAAGTGTGGAGGAAGAAGAACCTCTCCCTATGCTCGCTGCCATGTAACGTACCAGCAGGTATCCGAGCGTCAAGTACGAATGGATAGAAGGTTGGCATGACAGCATCACCCCCGAGAAAGTCGACAAGGTCAAGACTGATCTGCTTCACTCTTGTCGTGGCTGAAACGATGACTCTCAGTGGAGAGCGAAGGTGCAGGACAACAGCATGCTAGCTGACTCGCGAGAGATCGGTGAGCCGCCTCTTGCCAGCCCAATGACCATGACACGCTTTACAGCTGCAGCCATGAGTGCGATCCTTCAGTCATGTCAGGGCGAGTGACTCAACTCAGCTGCTGGAGCCTGCAATGAGTCAACAAGAGGAGAGATGAACTGAGAGATATGGCATGCCCCTGTTCATTGTGTAAACTTTCCTTGCTCTAGCGACGCTCCCTACAAATATTTTCGGGCCCACATGGTCAGATCCTTGGTTTCCTTATCGTCAGAATCGCTAGCCTGTGTAAAAGTTACAATTGAGAAAGACACCATCAAGACAGGCTCACCTGCTTCAAAACTTCCATGATCGCTTGTGAGTTCAAGTGAGGCTTGATCCTCTCCTGATATGTTTCTCCCAAATCCCCGAGCAGACCAACTGCCTTCTTCAATGTCTCTTCCGTACTATTATTCACATTTGACATCGACTCTATCAGCACAAGGCAGCCCTCCTTGAGAGCAACAGGAGTAAAGAATGCCTCGACCGCGCGGGCTGTTCCATCCTTCTCTGCCTGTTTCAATCCGTGCAAGATACCCACATACCCATCGAAAACACCTTCTGTCAGGGCAGTCAAATAATTCCTCATGTCCTCGTCCTCTCCAGCTGCCAGGTCATTCTGAAGCTTCAAACATGTCTGGCAAGCTGCCTGCAAAGCCCTGAACCAGTACTGTAGGTACTTCTCCATATCCTTAGTGATTGCCATCGCAATATCTCCAAAGCTAGAGCAAATTGCAGGCTTGATGTAATCGTGAACCTGAACGTAATCCGCATCAACTTCCGCTCGATGGAACACAGTCAGAAGCGCCTCCACAAGAGGATCACAATACTGAGTTACATTCCCCTCCAGGCATCGTGCTAAGTCAGATACAGTTGTCACTGCGAGGACACAGAGAGGAGCGTCATGACAGGCATGAACGCAACTGACCAAGATGGGACCAAACGAAGCCATGTACCTCTGGAAGCCCTGCTCGAGTACATTCAACACCGTATCCACTGCTAACAATGCTTCCTGAGCCGCCATTGTATTCTGTGAGCTAAAAACTTGGAGGAAGAGAGTCATTAGCTTGTCTGCCAAGGAAAGGCCACTGGCATCAGCCACCATGAGCACGTCAGTCTTGCCACTCATGTTGCCAATGCACGTCTGAATGGCACCGCAGAAGAAGCTCTGCCACTCACTTCGAGTATTGTTGTCATCCGCGTTCAGCACCTGCATGGTGAAGGTTTGATTCAACCTTTCACCAAGCATAGGGAGGAGCACAGGGACAATGAACGATTCGACAACTGGTGTCGCACCAGGGCACTTGCTCGGATTTGCTGTTGCTATCAACGCATTCAGAGCCTCGTATGCCGTTGCTCTCAGATTATCTTCAGAGGCATCCTGACGGTCTCCAGTAGCAATCAAGCATTCCACAGTGGACACGAACACGTTACTGAGCGGAAATTGGTTCAAAGCTGTGGGCAAATCCTCCAAGAATGCAACAAGGTTCGAAGAAATATGGTGGATGCACCAGCAGAGATGATTGGCTGTCTTAGGCTCGGCACCTGGAATCACCATGCAAATCTGAGGAACAAGCTGCTCAAGATGGTCCTTGATGAAATTGAAGTTCATTTCACAGACTCTCATCAGAGTCCATGCTGACGAGTTCTTGATGAGCAACTGCTCAGTATCCTGGCTGTCCTTCTTCAAATAGGCAAGAACGTTATCAAGCATCTGTGTGGCATTCATCGCTTGAGTCAGCAGCTGGTCGTCTGGTCCATCCATGATGCACCCAAAGGCCACGATGGCTGCTTCACAAAGTCTCCAGTTAGATTCTCTGACATGTTGGCCGACCCATGGCACAACTTTCTCAACAACTTCATCTCTGATAACTTGAGAGATGGAAGCCAAGCAGAACGCTGCTTCTGTCGACTTGTTGAACGACTCGTCATCTTGACCTTCTTCTTGCTGTGCCATGGCAGTGAGCAAGACTGGAATCAAGTATTGAGCAGCACCCTTGACAAAATTGTTGCATCCAGATTCACCATCCAACAGGCGATCATACTCAACATCGCAGATTTGAATCCAGAAGGCGATGGCCTGCCTCGCCACTGCATCTGGCTGAGTTGAAATGGCGCTGATTGTCAACTCCAAGAGAGCTTGCATGTACTGCAAAAGCCTGTCGTAATACAACTCTGCAATGCGGCCAAGACACTGGAAAGCGTTCTCTCGGACCTAAGACGGCCTCAGCGATCTAAGAAAACATGAGTGCCATGTTTACCTGCTCACTGGCCTGAGTGGTGCAAGCCTCGCAAATGACTTGCATGATGTAATTACGTTCAGCATCGACCTGGATAATTTATCAAACTGACTGTGGACGTCTTTCAGCATTAGGAAGTGATGCCTGAAAGTTGCGGTCTGCAAACTCGAGGGCATTGGCAAGTGCTTGGGTTGCAGCGATCTTAATGTTCAGATCCTGCTCTTCCGTGCGCATTCCTGCTACGACCTGGAAAGGAGTCACCATAATTGCAAGCTTCGAATATCAGTCCTTTGACACACCGCAGTCAAGATATCATTAGACTTGCTGTGAAGACAATCCGTTTCGAGCTGTGCAATCTCTTCGCAGATGTAACCGATGGTGTGTAGAGCAGCTTCTTTCTTAGCAACCCCTAGCAGAGCGACTGAGTGAATTGGCAGCGAAGTGTCAAGAGAATACCCGAAGGATTAGCTTCCGGTTTTACAACAAACGACAAGAGAGCTTGAACCAAGTCTTCCCATTGTTGCTGAACATCAAATACGGCACGTCAGAAACTCATCGTACCTGAAAACTGTCACGAATTCATAAGGTTCTTACCTTGGGCAATTCAATGGTTGCAATTTTGGAAATGACTTGAGCTGAAGCCAAACGAACATCCTTTTGAGTGGATCCAAGAGCGTTCACACTGTTCAGCAGATTAAACGGTAGAGGAGAATGTAAAGGTAGCTACCTGTTGGCTTTCACTTTATTCCTGATCTCTGGATTGAGGGACATCCAATCGTTTGCCAACTTCACCGCCTTTGACGCAGAGTGAGGATCAAACTCGAAGAAAACATGAGGAAAACTAAACCTGCTGGTGCTCTTTCGAAGTCATGTAGTTCTTGAGCAAGATACCAGCCAACGCTCGTCCTTGCGCAGAAGGAGAGCTCTCATCAGCAAGCTCTTGACTCAGGAGGCTGATGCAAATGTCAGAGTTCGAGGCATGAGCTCTCAGTGCATCATACAAAAGGTGATTCGCTGGGTCAGTTTCGAACGATTGCTTGAGCTGAGCCTCAGCAGCATTTCGAACAGTGGCGTCTGCGTTCAAGGTCTCAGTCAGAGGTGTCTTGTTGCCATGATACGCAACATCCACATACCTGGATTTGTTGTCGCGATCAAGGCTTGTCGGATTGTTGTTGCGTCCATGGTGACGCAACCTTGCCAAGCATCGTGAGCGAAATTACCAAAGCAGAATCTACATCAATGATGGAAACAAACAACAAGTTCGGTAGTTGGCAGCATTTCAGCGCTAATTCGAATCTCAGCAAGCAGTCTAAGAGGAAGAGGCAGGAAGGCAGTATCTAGAACAGCATGCGGGCATGGCGGAAAAGACAGTCACTTGGGATCATGACCAGACAAGTCCTTCATAGTGCGTAAGGATTCACGTGTAATATACAAGAACGAGTCTTTAAAACAAAGTGCATGAAAGTGATTCAGGGAGAAATCCCAGGAAATGAACGAGAAGGAGGATACAGTGGAAGGAACAGTTGAATCAAAGGATTAAGAGGAGGTGAAAGGATGCTAAAGGGACTAGAGGACCAGAAGAAATAAGCTGTGCAGAAGGGCGCATGGAAGTGAAGTGAGAAAGATAGAGGAGAAATTGAGAAGAGCGGCAAGCAGAGCAAGGAGGCAGGGCCTGATGCCGAAAACATGGCTGGATGCCAGCATGAGCAGCAGAGGGCGGGAAGTCTCAGGAGCACGAGTGGGGGGTGGGGGTGGAGGCACTTGGTCTTTGGTTAGGGAATTGTGGGGTACTCAGATATGGAAATATGGGTAGTCAATCAAACAAAGGGGTAGTGTGGCAAGGGGGTACTTTTGTCATGGAGCAACGGGTACTTGTTGAAACAGAAGGGGTGAACATTCACAGGTGGTGTCGATTACAGTCAAAGAAGGGGGTATGAAGAGGGAAAAGTAGGGTAGGGATTGAAAAAGTGGGGTGTACAGGAAAAAGGGTGGGTACTGAACCAAGAAGGTGGGTAGAAAGAAACCGGGTAGTAGTGTTCGGGTGCTGTATGGGGGGGTAGCTCCCTGAAAAGGAAGGGTGCGAATCTGAAACTTGATTTGAATTTTTCAAGTCTGGAATGCCACCACATTTTTAATGGTCATAAGTACCGGTACTGGTGTCACAAAAATAACTGAAAGGGTTCAGATTTCAAGATGAGGGGTAGTCGCTCAACAGTGGCGGTGGGACGACCGGATAGGACTTTGGTCATAGCAACCGGTATGAGAAGTGAGCTAGGAATTGATAATAAGCAGGTCCTAGGAATATGAAATTTGAATTGCGCGCGGAAAGGACAGGTCAGCATGAGACTGAGGACCGGTCCTTTTGTCATCATTTACTTAGGTGGCCGTGGGAGCACTTAGGGGTAGTTGACTAACCAAAGTACCCCCAGTTTTTACTGGATTGGCAAGGAATGCTAGGGGGTACTAGGAAAAGCGTACCGTCACTTTTCATCATGATGTATCTCCAAAAAATGTGCCAAGAAAGTCTATAAAAGGCCGACCTGGGATGTCCCCCATCTACCACGCATTCCTCGCATCACTTCGCACATCGCTCCTCAGACATGGACAGTGGAAAGGAACGGGTGAAGTGCCCTAATCACATCATGTGCCATAGTGTCAATGAGAAGCTGTATTTCGACTGCCACGGAGGTCGATGCCTTGATTGCAACATGACTTATGCGCGCGATTTCATCTTCTTTACGTCGGAAGAGGTCTCAGGGGAGGAATGCCCGGTCTGCCTGGACACTTCAAAGGAAAACTTTCTTAAATACCCGTGTGGACACTACATCTGTGTTGATTGCTTCTATCCAACGATGAGGATGGACGGTCCAAGAGAAGTGGACTTTGATCCAGAGTTCTTTTCAAACCAAACAGAGGACATCACGGATGGAATATCTGATGACCTGTTTGAACGCTGGCAGCAGGAAGAACGCCCTGAGTATTATGCTTGGGATCGGGCTGACGACAAGTTTCAGCAAACAGAGCAAGAGAGAATGCAACATCACCAACGACTCTTGCGGCGTTGCCCAAAGTGCAGATACAAGGGCCTGCCTGTAGCAGGAAAAGTTGGTGGCTCTAGGGCCTGTGTTGAATGCCCGTATTCCAATGCAGGGCAGTGGATCGGTATTCTATCCAATTGAAAGCGGCTCTAGGGTCTGCGTTGCAGTCATCTAGCAACTAAATAAAGATTAGGAAAACATGAGCAGATCACATGGAAAATAAAAAAATCAAGTTCATATAAAGGATGCAACAGTACGTCCTTCTCCCAAATGCCCTCCTTCAGATGGCACACTGTATTCAAACACCTTAAAACAGCATCATCACCAGCACCAGCCGTGACTATCTCAATGTGTTGCTGCTGTATTGACATAAGCGTTGGTGAAGCGAAGCTCGCCTACTTTCAACTTCCTGAATTCAAAACCTACCATACCGTGGCATCATCCAAAACCTACCATACTGCATCATCATTTGTATCTGTGTATACTTGTTCATGCCATTGACTTTTTCAATGTAACTTGAGATGGAAAAATTGTTTGGCAGATTCGCTGCGATGTCGCTTTTAAAGAGTATCAATATGTTCCATGATCTTGAAACTTGAAAGATGAGAAGATCATCAACCAAATTGAAACCCAGTGGTGGCCCGGGAAACGGCCCTTACGGTACCGCCCGGCCCGGGTGACTAGGCCGCTGCCCCCGGGGCCCGGGACTCCGATCAGGATGTAGCCGGCAACTTAAAGGAGGAGGCGGGTAGAAAATTTGAGCCAGTGCACTGGGAAGCGCCCCATGCGGAGGATGGGAGTGGAGGGAAGGGAGAAGGAGGGAGAGGGGGAAGGGGAGGGGTGAAGGAAGGGGATAAAGAGGAGGAGAGAGGGACGATACAGACACGAGAGGGAGGGAAAGAAGATGAGAAGGAAAGGGAGGAAATTGAAGAGGGAGAAACAATTGAAGGGTGGTGAAGGGAGAGGATAGGATCGGATGATGGTGTCTGACGTGTCAGTTGCGTCCTCTGACCCCTGATTTTTCAATCGGGCAGCCATAGAGTCATCATCTCATGGCTTGCTGAAAGATGTTGTTGGTGAGGATAAAACCTTTCACTCAGTGATTTCCATGACTGCAAATGGTACCAGCTCTCTGCTACGATGCTCAGCCTCCATGCTCGGAGAAGCCTCCTCTGCATCCTCCTCCTCCTCTCCTCTTTCCTCAATCTCTGCACTCCTTTCGCGCCAGCGGCTCTCCACATTCAGCGGAGCCTCCCTTCCTGTTGGCGTCCGGCATGGCCCTCCAGGTGCCACGACTCTGAGTTGGCAACGGTGACACTGAGGCCCTTGTAGTCTCAGCAGGTCATGCCGGCAAACAAGCACATGGAAATGCGCCAACGAGGTCTCAATCCCATGGCCCGACCTTGCCGCTGATCCCTTCTCCGCCAGGACGTGAGAGGTTTCGAGGAGGAGGAGGACGAGAGGTAAATCTCCCTTCCCCCTCCCTGCTCTTCTCAGCTTCTTCTGCAGCCTGCGGAAGAGCACGCGGAGGAAGATGCGCGACAAGTCCAGCACAAGGTCACTCGCAGGGAAGAAGCTGAAGGTGAGGGAGGAGAGCAGGAGCTCGTGAAACGTTTTCAGCTGATACCCTACAAGCGGACGCGGGCGCGGGGGACCTCAACGGAGTTCCTGGTGGAGGAGCTCACGACAGATGATGGGCTCTTGCTCTCTGGAGGGCTGCTGCTAGAGGTACTGACCCCTCAGGAGCAGGAGGAGCAGGAGGGGGAGGAGCAGCAGGAGGAGGAGCAGGAGGAGGAAGTGGTGGTGGTCTGACTGTTTGCTCAACCCCAAGGCTCGCTCCAACTGGGTCCGAGACCTGATGTCTACCGGTCGATCGCTCCTCCTCCGCCGGATCGCCGACCGTCTTGGCTTCATTGGCCTCTGGTCCGTCTTCGTCTCCCTCCTCTTCGCCTTCTCCCCCGACGACTGGCACGTGCACGAGGTCCTCAAGGTGCCCGAGTGGCCGCACGAGCTCGTCGGTGGTTTCCTGTCCATCCTCCTCGTGTTCAGGACAGATCAGGCGTACCAGAGGTTCTGGGAAGGAAGGGAGCGATGGGCTGACGTAGCAGGTCATGGATCTTTCTCTTTTCCTCTCCCCTCCTCTTGCTCCTCCTCCTCCAACACCACCACCATCACCAACACCTCCTCCTCCTCCTCCTCTCCTCGATCCTTCTTTCTCATCCTGTCGTGCTGCTCGCCCTCTTGCTCGTCATGCTGTCCTTCCGTCCTGAGCATGCGCCTGTTCTTCTTCTCTTCCTCCTCCCCTCACAGCACTGTTGGCTGAAGTCTCATCGCTGGCAGCCCATCTCCGTACGATGACTCGCATCACGGTGACGGCGGTGGAGCCGCGATCTCAGGACGCGATCCTCTCCCACCTCTGCGCCTTCCCCATCACGCTGAAGCAGCACCTGAGGGGAGAGAGGAGTGGCTCTGAACTAGAGCCCATTTTCGACGCGTTCAATCCCAACGAGGTCGAGGACGGGGACGAGGACGGGTCCCACAACATTCAGAACATCCTCGGAGCCAACAACATGCCCCTGACCCTGTTGACGTCTCTCTCTTCACAGGTCCGCCCCCCTCCTTCCCTTACTCCCTCCTCCCTCCATTACCCCTTCCTCCTCCTCCCCTCCTCCTCCCCCCGCCCCCCCCTCCTCCTCCTCCTCCTCCTCC